GATTCCACCGTCCTCGTCATCGTCTTCGTCGATGTCTCTGTTGTTGTCAACCTCCATCTTGTCCTCGTCATCGCCGCCCTTCTCTTCAGCATCAGAAAGAGGAGAGCTGGCCTTTTCGAGTGCCCTCTCTGCACGGTCCAAGGGGTCCTCGTCCTCATCCTCGTCATCGCTGTCGACGATGATCTCCGCAGACTTGTACTTGCTATTCACCGTGGACTCCTTCTTTGTAAGGCGGCGCTTCTTCTTTGTTGGGCGTTCCTCGCCCGAGTCTTCGCCGTCTGTCTCGGTAGCCTTCTTCTTGCGTGACCCTCTCTTCGGGCGGCTTTCGCCATCGCCTCTGGGTGCCGACTTCTTCTTTCTCTTGACCTTGTCGCCAGTCTCGCTGTCGGTTGTCATTTCGGCGTCTTGTCGGGCCTTCTCCTCCTCGGCACGACGCTCTGCAATCTCTCTGTCTCTTGCCGCGATTTCTTCTCTCTCCCTTCTGATCTTCTCCTGTTTCTCGCGTTGCTTGTCGAGAGCCTGTTGTCGTTCCTCCTCACGTTTCCGGAGCTCGACTTGACGCTGCTCCAGAGCCGCCTGCAACTTCTCCTTGTTCTTCTCCTCGTACTCCTTCTGGCTAGCTATGGCTCTCTCAAGCTGCTTGCGTTGAGTGTTGCGGGCCATGTTGGCACGCTGCTCGACGTCGTGTTTGGGGTAAGGAGTTTGTGGATGGCTCGCGATCTCATCGAGAGCAGAGATTGCAGATTCAAGCCCAGTAGCAGCCTCTTGAAGTTGCGCCAACGTCCGCTGGTTCTCGTTGAGGCCATAAACAGTGGTTGCCATTTGGATCTGAACGAAAGCCACATTGAACTTGTAGTGAACTTGTTCCGGTGCTGCTTCGAGTGCCTGAATATTGTGTTAGTCACTGCAGATGGAATTACCTGGAGACAAGTAAGTTACCTTGTGTGCATACTTGAGCGCCTCATGATACGCGTCCAGGAGTTTCTCAGATCGGCCCTTGTTGAGCCAAGTCCGTCCCAAACAGGCGAGAATGACCGGATCGCTGCCCTTGCCCTCTTTTGACAAAGCAATCTCGTAGTTCTCGATAGCCTTGGAGTACTGTCTGAGCTCAGCATAGATGTGACCTAGGTTGACGTAGACATGTGCATCCTTGATAGTGTCCCGAATCTTGACGAAAATGCCCAAGGCCGTCTTGTAATCCTTCTTGTCCTCGACCAGCGCGATAGCAATACCCTGTGCCGCGTAGGCATTTTTGGGGTCCAAGGAAAGGGCCTTCTCAAAAAACTCAACCGCTTTGCTGTACGTTGCGCTCCTCTTGGCTTTGTCACTGTCGCTTTCACGTCGCATCTCTCGAGCTTGGATGAGGTACAAATTGCCCATGCCAACCAAAGCATAGCGGTCATGCTTGTCGTAATTCTGTAGTGTGTGTTTGTAATGACGGAACTCATGGTCTTCGTTGATGTTGTGTGGGCGCTTTCTAGAGTGCACCTTACCCATGTACCAGCCGTACAAGGCTCGGACCTCGAGGTCCTGAGGGTTTTCTTGGTACAGCTTGGCAACGGCGTCAGGTCCCTCCTTGTTGGGGTTCCTACGAAGCTTGATATACGCAAGTCTCGTCCTGGCGTCGGTATAGTCGTCGTGGCGCTTCAGCAAACCTTCGTATACCTCGGTGGCCTTGTCGTAAATACTTTGTGACTCGTAGCTTCGACCAAGATTGAAGCTAATCGTGGTGACCAAAGCATCCGTATCAATCTCTTGATCCTTCTCGCCAATCTTCATGCAAGCACCCAGAGCCGCCTCAAACATTTCGCTGGCCTGCTCGTGCTTCTCAGACTGCGAGTAAAAGCAACCAATGTTGTTGAGGAGCTGCGGAGGGAGGAACTTGCGGAGGGCTGCGCGGTTCTCGGCTTCGTCTTCAATTCCGGTCGGGCGTTCTTCCTCCGGGATCTGGTCGAGTTCCAAGTGCTCGACTTGAAGAAGGCACTGCTGAGCTCTCTCGGGGAACTCATGCTCGTATAGACGGGCCAGGTTTAACAAAACCGCAGCGTCTGGGGACATCCCCTTCTTGCTATCCTTCCAAGCACCTCGCACACCCTCCAGAAGCGAAATCGCCTTCTTCATCTCGGCTGACTTGTCCTCCTTGCCGTCCGCGTCTTCGTTCGCGAAAACTTCCTCCGCGTACAAAGTGCCCAGCAAGATCATAGCTTCGTGGTTCTTGGACTGCTGAATCATCTTCTCCAATCGCAACTTCGCCTCACCGAGGTCGCCTCGAAGCACTGCTAGCTGGGCAGCACCGAATTTCGCAGGCATGTAGCCACGCTCGGCACCGCCACGCGCATCATCGGCTCGGCGATAGAAGTCACTGGCACGTTCTGGGTCGCCAGTGTAGTGTTCCTTTCTTGCCAGGAGATACCAGCCGTCACTCGCGATCGCATTGACGTCGGTGTACTGAATGGCCTTGTGTGCGAGTGAGTCTACCGTGCCGAGCTGTTTGCGCGACAGGAAGTAGCCGGCAAAGGTTGCGCATGTCAACGGCATGTTCTTGTCGAGTTTGAAAGACTTCTGGGTATACTCGGTCATTGCTTTCTTGTATAGATGAAGGAACTCGGGGCTGTTTGTGGGGATGCGGCTGCTGGCGTCAAGATGATAGAGACCGAGAAGAATGTTTCCAACCTTGTGCTCGGGGTTGATTTCAACACACCGCTCCCAAGCAAGCTTAGCATCATCCTTGAAGCCCAGTTGCCAGAAACAGCAGCCAATGCCTATCCTCGGATCGGGGTCGACGAAGTCGGGCATCTTCTGCAGAACCTCTTGGTAGGATGCCAGGGACTCCGGGTACTTCCCAAGTGAGAAAAAAGTTCGCGCCTTTCCCATCACCGCAAGCATGTTCTTCCCTTGCGACACTCGGATGGCGTCTTCGAAAGCCTTGAGTGCCGATCGTAACAAATCCGCCTTTTCAGAGTCCACCTGTCCATGACTTGCCGCCTTGGGGGTCTGCAGAGACGCTCTAAGCAGCTGCAAAACTCCGCGAGCCAGGAACAGGGGAGGGTACGCTGGGTTGATGCGCGACGCATCGTTCAGCGTAGAAGTCGCCAGTTGCAGGTAGTATTCTTTTGTCTTGGCTTCGGAAGCCAGCTCGCCATCGGGGGGCACTCTCGGCGCTTCGCGACTTTTCCACAGATACATCCAGCATAGGCATCCAATCATGCTCAGCTTTTCCCTTGGGTTATTGTCGCGCATCGCGTTTCCACCTCGGACCAGCATCTCGATAGCATGGTCAATCTTCTTCTGCTTGGCATAGGCCAGTGCAACGGTCATCCAATAGGTTCGAGCGGCGCGTTCGTTTTCGAAAAGGGTGCAAAGTTCGGTGGGGTCATCGAAAAGTTCGAGGAGATCGATTTCGACGGCTTCGTCTTCGGCTTCGCCTTGAACCGGGACGTCGATGGCGGCTGGGATGTCAGAGAACCGCTTGCTGACTGGCGCGCTGGCTGCGCCATTGGTGCCATTCATCGCGCCGTTCTTGAGGGCTGACATTTTGGCGGATGGGAGGCTATGACATGCCTCGGATAAGTTTGGTGATGAAGTGGATGAAAAGTGAGGCAATCTAGAAATTCGGGGGGGAGCTGGGATGAGGCTGAGGAAAGATCAATCCGTCGCGTAGCACTTGCCTGCTCAGTTGGCCTTGCACATGTGGATTCATAAAAGACGCTAGTGGGGTGTTCTTGCAGCTGTCCACCAACCATGGTCAAGTTTTGATTGGCCAATCAGCTACAAAAGGTACTGAGTACAGGTCCTCCAGGCCATAGCTACTCCTTACACCATGTACTGGATACGTATAGCTTCACTTACACCTTCGTCACGTCTTCTCTCTTTTTCTCGACTCAAAGTAAACCAGATATTCTGCAAGAATAGCCAAGCTTTCCGAGTTGAGTTGGAAATCATTGAAGTGAAATTTGCAGATAAGCTTTGGCGAAACGCAGCTCTTCGCTCGATGAGACGTCCGTTGTATAGGTGGATGCGATTCGAAGATTGATGATTGAAATACGGACATGAGCTACAAATCAAGACCATAGGCATAGGTAGAAGATGCGGATAAGTTCCGGTCCTGGTTTCTTTTCCTTTGCCCAGAATACAGAGCTCGAGCTCATATTCTCCAGATGCATAAAGAGCTCGGGACTTTCACTTGTCTATCAAGTCAGCTAAGGAAGGAGCAAGTGAGGTCGCCCTAACCGACTGACTGACGGCAGGTGCGCCTTCGCCATCATCTTCTCACCTTGCACACTCAGAATTCCTTCTTTCACACCACCTTCCACCTGCGATTTTACTTTTTCACAAAATCACATTGATTGGCAACATTCTCTTCTTAGGTACCCTGTCGATACAATCGAAAGAAGTGCCAAGCTGGCATTCGACCACCATTGCCACCATTCAAACAGCTGTCAACCTTCACCCAGTTCACCATGCCCGCCATTCCCAAAGCTGTGCAAGGAAGTGATGGCCTTCTGGAGAATTGTTTTCACAATCGAAGTACCGAGTCCCTGACAGGGCGGCAGGTTGAAGAACCAAGCGGTCCATTGCCCCCGGTGCCCTCAGTACCGCCAGGTTCTCATGTCCAATGTTTTGGATGGGGATGCCTCAGTGAAGCACAGCAGGCTGGGATTCTTGTGACCATTGTTGTGGTATTCCTATCTCTCTTTCTTGGTCTGCTATTCTTTCTACGATCAAAGAAACAGGAGGATTGGGTTGATGGTGACCTCGTCCTTGTCCGGCCGAAGCGACGACCCAGACCCAGAAGCCAAGCGGCCTCCTTCAACTCACAGCATTCGCGCTTCTTCTTCAGACACGAGGGGCTGACAGGCATGCAGCAGCCTCCTCCACTCATGATTGCTCATCCGACAATTCTTCACTTTCCTCCGCCACCTCCTCCGCCAGTTCCGGTTCCCCTCCCAATGCCGATGCCTATGCCATTCCCACCACCTCGACCGATATACCCTTATCCGATGGCTTATCAGACGAACCAATACCATTCGATGCAGGCACAAGCACTTGGACACTCTCAAGGGCCCTCTGTAGCTCCAAGATTCCCGATCATCGCCCAGTACCAACAGCAACCGCAGCCTTATCCTCAGGCCCAGCAACAAACTCACTTTCCATGGAGTCAGATGTCTGGCCTCCCGCAGCGCTCTCCACAGCCACCGCGAAGAAGACCATCACTTGCACGAAGACTCTTTGGTCTGTTCAACAACCCAGTCGGTAGGGCGTCAACCATTGCCGGCTCCGACTCGGACTCAACTCGAGCACCATCCATAAGGAGCAGCCGCCATACGCGAACTTCGGCAACATCCATTGCCACACCACCGTCTCCTGTAGCGCGACCCAATGGGGATGCAACGCACGGATCAGACGCAACGAGACCAGTTGAGGTGTCTCCCACGGTGGCCACTGTCCATAGTGATGACTACATCGCTCCTGCAACTATGCGGGATGAGTCCCCTGAACGCCACCAGCCAAATTCAGCTTCGTCAGTCCCAATCAACTTGAGCAGCAAAGTTCAAGATGAAGCGCGAGGGGAGGCCACTGTTATCGAGTCTCCGGCCAAAGAACAAGACAAGGCTGAGCCTGACAATGCAAAGGCCTATCCGACTTGGAAACCGATCTGCGAGGACGCCGAGGCCGCTGAAACCCACCATCCTCGACCTATCGCCAAGCCCCTTAAAAGGTATGATGTCTCGACTACAATCATGGATGTAAAGCTCACAAAATACAGTGCCCTGAAGAACGTAAGGAAAGCCGCTGCAGGCGCTAGACCAAGCAACATGAAGAACGACCAGAAGCTCTTATCCAAAGAGGATCCAAGGTAAGGGGGACCCCACCTAGGTCTCAAATGCTTACTGACTCCACCAGTGCTCAAACGGACTTCGCGTCTAGTCGTATAGTCACTTCGTCAGAGGACGCAGAAGCCAGCTCGAGAAAGTGCAAAGAGTGAACTACTTCCTGAGTCTTGAACTAGAACCGCACGCTGATACGATTCATAGAGAGGAACATCAGGGAAACTCTGTCGACAAACGCAATTCCAAGAAGGACGCAGCCCGCGAGGCCAGACGTGATTATCCAGACGTCTTGGGTATGCCCAAGAATGCTGTTGAGACGACAAAGAAGCCAGTATCGGCTCCTTCAAGCAGCCAAGTCAGAACAGCAGAGAATAAGCAACACCAGAGCTTGAGTCCCAACCAACACTTGCGGGGATCCTCGAGCAGAACTGAAGAACTTCGGTGAGCCGCACGAACTAAGTCGCCCAGGCATTGGCGAGTGAACGCTGACTGATGTTAAGATTCGATGTGTCCGGCTCTGGTGTCACGGAGACCAGCGACTCGCTGAACGACTACTCGCCGCCCCCGTCTCCTCCGAGACCGATCCACCAGGGCGGCGGTAAGTATGCTCCTGACCAGCTGCGAAGGAAGCAAGCAAGAAGAGCGTACTAGGCTACGATGACAGACGCGGCGACTGAGTGGTCACCACGAATCGGTGGCGGGGAGGAGTGACTGATGTACGAGAATGATTCTTTTCGGAATGAAGACGGAACAAGATTGGGACTATACGGAGCATCGTAATTCCCAGACAGGCGACCTACTGTTCAGTGGTCGGGGGGGTTTGGTCCCGACAAGATAGGTGAAAAAGCATGTGCATTTGGTCATTCGCGTCACCGAAGCTTGTTTGAACCGATTGAGATAGGTATTGGAGTCAGGAATAAGGGTTCAGATGTGCTACAAGGATGTAGAATCATACCAGACAAGTAGTTCGTCCATACCCAATGATGAGAATTGTGCAGCTGTGGTTCATAAGATATGCCGAGTAATGCATAGCCTGGGAATGCACACAGATGCTCAGCGGGGTGCAAAGCAGGGGTAACTTTAGTAAGACAGGTATTTGTGTCACTTTGGCCTGTGCGCAATGGTGGTTAGGTACTCCGTACCTTGTCACTGGTGCTTGTCCGGGTGCGTACGACAAAAGCAGCAAGCAGCAGGAGCAGGGCCCCCAAGGGAGGTGGCTTCGTCATTGCCTGCTGCTCTGGCCGGAAAGGCACTTGCTGCACCCTGGAGCTTACCTTAGTCCAACCTCGCGCAGCCCCGATCACCTCTCCCCACGCTGCCGCCCGACAAGTCTGCTTGTCCGTATCATAACTCTCTTTCAACCCGACCATTATTCTGTCAGCCTCAAGCCTTTCACTTTTTGGGTCAGCCTTCAACATTTATCGGACCTTGCGATCATCAACCACATGCTTGTCGCATGCCGACAGACAAGTGCCTTCCATCATTCCCACCCCTCCTCCCCCCCGCAGCTCCCGGCTCAGCTGCGCATCCCCGATTGCGCATCCTGTTTGAGACTGCAAACCCTTCTGGAAGATTGAATACCGACCTATAGCTTTGTTTGCTATTCCTTCCAATCCGACACCGACGCGATGTGGAACGATGAGGATAATAATCCCTATGCCGAGGGCTTTGACCGGAGAGACAGCCTGACTTCCTCTTCTGCCAACCCAGCTTCTCCTACTACTCGTGAGTGTATGTTGCGATCCTTCCCTAGTTCAACCCCTCGTCGTTTTGAAGATTTCAGAAAATGATGGAAACCATAGATCTGGATGATTCTTCAGACAGTACTGATGCCGACTGGGAGACTCTAGACCAGCGATTCGACATCCCTCAGACGCCGTCGACCACAAGCGATGAGGCGCCTCAGAATCGCTCTCATACCCTCGAAGACAGCGAAGCTGAGAGCAGCGATAATGAGCCGATTGCTAGAGACAGAGGCGATCTTGTCCCGCGTCCCAAGCCCGGCGGCTACGAAAGCCGCGTCGAACAGATCCTCTGGGAGAATCCGACCATGACTATCCTCATTACTGATGCAGGAAAGAGCGCGGAGAGCGGTGGAAAATACATTGTGTACACCATTAGGACAGGCGTATGTGGTTGTGTGAAGGATCGCTCCCTCTGTACTTGAGGTACTGACTATGCCATAGAACCTCGAAGTGCGCCGACGATACTCGGAATTTGCGTCTTTGCGTGAGGCATTGACGCGGCTGCACCCTACCCTGATTATACCCCCCATCCCCGAGAAGCATACCATGGCCGACTACGCCGCGAACCCTACGAGCGCAAAGCAAGATCAGCAGATTATTGACCTGCGCAAGCGCATGCTTGCCGTGTTCTTGAATCGATGCCGCCGCATGGAGGAGGTCCGAACAGACGGTGTTTGGTGGAGATTCCTGGACCCCAATGCTAGCTGGGTAGGTTGAAAAGATCTTCTTGACAGTGACCAGGTAGCTAATCCATCGCAGAGTGAGGTCCTGCACTCTCACCCAGTCGCATCAGTGCCCAAGTCAGTCCTGAAGGCACCTCCTTTGGATCCTGCGAATCCCACCCCTGCTCACAACTTCCTTCCTGTACCATCAACTTCCGCTAAGCTCAAGACAACGGGCGGCCCTGGTGTCGACCCCGGCGCGATCGCTGGAACTGGATCGCATGTCTTTGGCCGATTCCCTCCCGACAGCCACACCCTGAGCGAGCAAGAACTTGACCCCTACTTCATCACGTATGAGGCATCTATCAAGGAACTGGAGCAGCTGTTGTCGGGATCTATGGAGAAGGTCAACCGTCGGACCTTGAGCCACCTATCTGCACTGGCAGCGGATCTTTGCGAACTGGGCTCCAAGTTCAATGCGTTCGCGCTGTCAGAACAGGCACCCTCTTTGGGCCCTGCCCTCGAGAGAGTGGGACAGGCGGCAGACTCCTCCTACATCGCTACTGAGGAGCTTTCTGGCTCTCTGGGTGCGAGTTTCGCGGAGCCTATGCGGGAGAACGCGCAGTTCGCAGGTGTTGTCCGCAGCGTGCTGAAGTACAGGGTGCTCAAGCGAGTACAGCAGGAACAGACCAGCGACGAACTTAGCAAGAAGATTGCGCTGCTGGACCAGTTGGAGCGCAGCGAGCAGGAAGCCAAGCGCATCGAACAGTACCTCAGTAGCAGCCAACAAATTGCTCCCGCGCCGAAGCGATCTACGAGCCTTAGAGAAGCGAACTCATCACACCATCAGCGCGAGGGCAGCGCCGAAGACACAGCTTCCATCGACTCCGACTTCCCTCCTACTCACGGCGAGCCGGTTCCCACCGCAACCCAGGGAGTTCCACAGAGGAGCAACTCGACTCCGGGCCATAAGAAGGCCGCGAGCAGCAACTCAATCACGAACAAAATTTTCGGACCGATTCGTCACGCTATTCAAGGTGTAGCTGACGTCGACCCCGAGAGAACTCGTCGCGACATGATTGGAAAGACGAGGGAGAGTATCGAGCAGCTTGAGCAGGCCAAGGTGGTTTCTGAGCACGATGTGAAGGAAGCCAGCGCAAGCATCTTGAAGGACTTGAAGAGATTTCAGGGAGAGAAGGAAGAGGACCTGCGACGTTACATGGTAAGTTGAGTGCTCAGTAAGGTGCTACAAACGATTCCGTGCTGACCCGATATATCACAGCTGGCATATGCAAAGAGCCAAATTGAGTGGGCCAAGAAGAACAAGGAGACCTGGGAGGATGCCAAAGCCGAGGTCGCCAAGATTGACGAAAGTTAAGGGCATGGTCGGTTCATGAGGGAGAAAGGGAATTCGCGCAATGATATCAAAACAGACAGGGCTCAGAGGCCTCGAGCTGTTTCCAGTAATTTGATGAGGCGTTGAGTCTACCGGGCGGCTGGCGTGGGACAGCAAGGCTCATTTGGCGTTTACGAGGGATTCGACATTCGTAAAAGTCATGGGATAGTCAAAGACAATTAATCAACTCAGTTCAAAGTACCTTGTGATTTTTCAAGATGCGTGACATTTCCCGTTTTTGGCCTCACTTACCAGTCTTTGGCCTCATGTGCCACAAACTTGGCCTCCCCATGTCGCCAGATGTTGGGCATAATTGCCTTATCGATGATAGAAGCTTACAACTTAGGTAGTGGCCCCAGGTCATGAGTAGAGCTCCTTAATCATGTAACCTTTGAGTAACCGCGAACACGACCTGACAATATGCACGGTCTTATCTCGTTACCTTATCGATAAAAAGGCCGATAAAGCTCCGAGACTTTGGCGTCGCGAGGCTACCTACCTAGCAACGGAGGGCCGATCCCGACTTGTACTTCCTTCTCTCCCCCTTTGCGCAACACCAGAAAAAAAGGTCCATCCGCAACCATGGATGGCGTACAGGGTCCCCCGCCCGAGGGCCCGATTGCCTCAATTGCAGAACCGGGCATCAAGGCCGACGGTCAACTGCTGTTCGACCTGCGCCGCGAGGTCGCCAACCTTTTGCATCGCAACCAGACCAGCTTTCCCGGCGCGCAGCCCGTCAGCTTCGCGCGGAAACACGTCGATGAGCTACGGAATAAAGAGTGAGTGCTTTCCGTCGCGCCCGTTCTCCGGCCTCCTGGCTACTGCACGCGTTGTTCGCAGTGTGTCTTTGGTGGCCGCCGAGCCATTTGTCAGGTGGGAGGTTGGGAAGAGATGATTTGTAACTCGGTTTTTGCTGACAATCAGCGCGCTCCGCGAGCGCGAGAAACAGCTACTATGTTTGCGAAAAGTCAGACGGCATCCGGTACCTGCTCTACCTCACAGAAGACGAGGGCCGGGAGATCCACTACCTAATCGACCGCAAAAACGACTACTGGTTCATCAAGAACAGCAGCTTCCACTTCCCGCGCAAGGACGACCTGACCAAATTCCACACGCGTACCTTGATCGACGGCGAGCTCGTCATGGACGACACGGGCAAGGGCACAAAGGAACCGCGGTTCCTTGTCTTTGACTGCCTCGTGCTGGACGGGCAGGACCTCATGTCGCGGACGCTCGACAAGCGGCTCGCCTACTTCAACGAGAACATTTACAAGCCTTACCGGGACTTGTTTAAGCAGTACCCTGAGGAGCGGAATTTCCAACCGTTCTTGGTGGAGATGAAGGCTATGCAGCTGAGCTACGGCATCGAGATGATGTTTCGCGAGATTTTGCCCAAATTGCGGCACGGCAATGACGGATTAATTTTCACGTGTGTGAGTAGTGATTATAAGCACGGCACCGACCCGCATATCTTGAAGTGGAAGCCGCCGGAAGAGAACACGGTCGACTGCCGGCTGCGGATGACGTTCCCTACGGTGCAGCCCGGCGAAGGGGATGAGGAGGCTGAGGGACCGTTTGTGGACTACGAGGCTGTGCCGCGGGCGGAGCTGTGGAGTTTTATGGGGGATGGGCGGTACCAGTTCTTTGACGACGTGCACATCACCGAGGACGAGTGGGAGGTGCTGAAGGGTCTGGGCGATCCGCTCAACGACCGTATCGTGGAGTGTCACAAGGACGACCTGGGCCGGTGGCGGATTATCCGGTTCCGCGACGATAAGTCGGAGGCGAATCACATTTCTACCATCAAGAGCGTCATGGAGAGTATCGAGGATCGGGTTACGGAGAAGGATCTTGCGGAGGCGGCCAAGGGGATCAAGGATAATTGGAAGACGAGAAATGCCAAGCGGTAGTCTTCCTCGTTTTTTTTTCCCTACGTAAGAGGAAGAGGGATGAGGAAGGAAGCAGAAAGAGATACCTGGTTGAGGCTCCAACGGGCGCGTGGTTCGGGGGTTGAGGAGCATAGCGTGGGTGATGTGTGAGTACTGTACGTGTGCGCGGATCAGGATTGGACGAAGGCGTCTTGGTGTTGAGTTTTGTTTTTGCAAAAAGCCCCCAAGTTAAAACAGAGAATATGGAGGGGAGTTCAAGAAAGAGAACAGGGAAGGTATTGGCCCCTTTCCTAAGCACCCTCGCCATCCTTCTCGAATTGAGGTTGTCCCGCATTCATAAGGGATAGCTAAATTTTTTAAAAAAAATTTTTTTTTTTGGCGTTTTCCAGCTTCTAGGATAAGCGAGGAGGGCATCACGGTTTCCAAGGCACGAGAGTGTAGCGAGTACCTTTGAAAGAAAAGAGTAATTCATCGCTAGAGTGGACCTTTTGCTCGATTCAAAACCAGATGGCTAGGTAGGCCCCCGAGACTTCTCGTTGAAGAAGGGATGCTACCAGTAGGTATTTCACCCTTTCCCATACATAGCCATAGGGGGGCAAAGGTGTGTGATTGGTGTGCTTGTTCCACAATCACAAGCCAAAAAGCCAGCAAGGGATAATAGAGAGGTTTCGCACGCATTGCTTGCTGCATCTTGTGATGATCTAGATGAACATTGATTCAGATCTAAAATAGTCTAGCTCCCGTCCCCAGTGGCAGGAAATGTAGACATGGACATGTAGGGCAGGTGTTGACATTGGTGACTTTGGTAAACGGCGCTCGGCATCTTACCTTTAGGTAAGAGCTCCCCAACAAACCATCAAGCTCAGGAAACAGGTGCCCCCCGCACCACAGATACCTACCATGCCTACCTAGTGGCCCGAGCAAGCACGGACACTGGACTGCCTTCCGTAACCTCGAAGACGTCACAAAAGGAAAGCCAAAAGCTTCCTGTCCCAATCTTACATTAGCCCACGCGGTGAAAATCGATCGTTTTGACGACGAAGGGAGGGATAGAGAATGGCTTAGGCAGTGCCCATTGAAAGAAGCTACAACCTTGAAGAAGCTCCCCCTCTTGACATCGATCTCAGTCCTCGCTTCAACCGTCAAATTCCTCCTTCAATTTCCCTTCCTCTCTTGCGCTGTTCTAGACTTGTCCTACGGCTCACGATAGACTCGATTGGCACCTCTAATACAATACGACTACCTCTGCACCGCCTCATCATAACCTACGACACGTCACGTTCTGGGAGAATAAGCTGTTCCACTCTTGCGTCCTGCATCAATTGCAGCATCGCCGCCCACCATGATCCTCGGACCGGTGTCACTGCTCGACTGTCTCGTCTTTGTTATCTTCCTCACACCACAGCTCCTCATCAATGTTGGCTTCTTCCCGACGGTAGTCGTCACCTTGAAAATGCTGCCTTTCCTCGTGTTTCAACTGCCGACTTCCCTGCTCCGCGAGCGATATCTCCTACGCCACGACGAGCAATCGCCCTTTGTGCAGCGCGCGAGTTTCTTCGAAGATTTGGTCATACGCTGCGTGCGTTACGCCTTTGCAAACTTGCCAACCAACATTGGACGTGTCTTCTTTTCAAAGTACATATCTCTACCGTTTCTGCGGTTTCGAATGCTGCGGCATGGCTATCTCAGGTCACCTGCGACCTGGAGTGAGCACAAGGAAAAGGTGAGTGTAACCTACATCTCAGTGCACAATGGCCGGTGGCTTATTTGAATAATAGGGCCAACACGGCTTCGAAGGGGTTTGGATCCAAAAGGATGCGTCGCAACCGCCCGACATTGTGGTATACTACGCCCACGGAGGCGGTTTCGCCATGGGCTCCGCGTACTTTTACCTCGAATTTCTTCTGTCGTGGCACTCGCTACTCGTCCAAGCCGGCTACCGGAACCCTGCTATATTCTCTCTCGAGTACACCCTCGTGCCCGATAAAATGTACCCGAGGCAAATGTACGAGACTTTGAGGGGCTATAAGCATGTTCTGAATAAAGTCGGAGACCCCCGGAAGGTAGTTGTTGCAGGAGACTCAGCGGGAGCAACCCTGATATTGACGTTGTTGCTGGAACTGGGCCACATGAACGAGGCCCGGGCATTCAAAGAGAAGAGTGACGATTCCACCGCATCTGAAGGTCGAAGTCAGGAGCACTTGCGCCAGGCCTCAGAGTCCCCTCTACCAGGGCTCTGCGTCTTGATATCGCCGTGGGCCAAGCTCATCTCCAACAAGCATGAAAATACGGCCAGCGACTTTCTTGATCGCGACACGCTGTGGAAATACGCGGTGCAGTATGCCGGGGCAGCGCATGTCTACGACAAGACCGCGTCGCCTGGGCAGTGCGCCGATCCTCGGGTGTGGACGGAAGCTAGTCCACTTTGTGGCTTCTTCATCACGTACGGATCAGAAGAGGTGTTCGCGCCTGACATCAAAGACCTCATAAACGTCTTGGTCAAAAGTACCGAGGTCGACAGTCGCAGCGAGGATGGTGGTATCCACGCCTGGCCCGTTGTTTCGTTGTTCCTGTCAAGTACCGAGGACAAGAGACTCAAGGGTCTGCGGACACTCACGTCAGCAATCAGAAAACATATCTAGTAGAGGTCCTGTCAAAGGCAGATTGTTGTTTTTAGAAAAAAGTCTGATTAGATCAAGTAAAAACTGTCATAGACCGAGGCACGCCAACCTCGAAACCTGAGTTGAGATGACTCGGTTTGTACAGTTGTGGCCGCTTGGGGTGGTCTCCAGCTGTTTCTCTTCGTTATCTTCATCCTCGGCCACCAATAGGAATAGGCGCAAACAATAGAATTTAGTGGTTTGATTACCTGCATGATTGAGTTGCGTTCCTGCATACCGGGCCGTCCGCCGACAGGAAATTGGGACAGTAGTAGGGTGATATCTGTTCCGAAAAACAGCGACAAACATTTCGCGAAGACGCGTTGAAGGATGCAGACAAGTTCTTCGTAGCCCCGCTACAAAGTCGCCCCGGCGGGAAGGACGATTGGCGAGCTGGACGTGGACGCGGACGGGGCTACTCGAGAGTCGAGGTGCCGTCGCAAAGCTCGGACGGGTAGGGAGCTGTAGTGGGTCTCGGATGAAGTCATGTGTGGTTCAAACAGTGACGAGTCGAGAAGCGCGACGGCTTTGCGACAGAAAACATCTTTTTCGGACGACGGGGTTCCTTGATGATGGCGCGCTGCAGAAAGGGCTTGTCTGCTCTAGGTACAGGGAGGGTGCCAGCTCCAGGCAGCATTGAGGGCAGATGGCGGCGGGGTTTGACGATGTCGGGTGTCTCATGAAAACAAAGCAAGCTCGAACGTAGGTCATGGCCGCGAAGTATGGCGTGTCGAGAGTGAACGAGTAACGAGACAAGATTCTCTAGGAGTTCAAAGGTGCGCCGTAAACCAAGTCTAGAGTCCGAAAACAAGGGCCGAGATTGATGAGGGGAGCTGGAGCTGAGACGGTAAGAAAGGGCTCAGCCAGCCTACCATGCCCTACGTTGCCATGCTTGCTTCGGTTGAGCCATCCTTTTCAGCCTGCCTCACGTTACTTCGCGCCTCGAGATGCAGCCACGCCTGTGAGGTTGCGACATGCGGCGGCAAGCTGGGACGAAGGGGGAGACATCGACCATGTGGCGAGATCAGTGATGACGACGATAGGCCGCGACTTGACGAGAAATCTCTATTGAGGGTTGAGTGGCACACAAGACAGGCGCGAACGTGATGCTTCGGAGAGGTCCTAGAAGAAGTTGGAGAGAAGAGGAAGGAGAAGGAAAACAGAGGCGTTCGTTGTTCGAGAAAGCGAAGGAGGACGTGGGCGCAAAGTGAGAATTCGGGACACCTTGGAAAAAGGTAGGTACCTCCCGTGCTCCCTCATGGAAGGAAGGTGGACTGGCCAGACAGGTACCGACAGAGCTTAGCTAGCGCGGAAAGGTACAGAGGCCCATCAAGCAGGGGACTAGCGGCTGTGCTCATGCAGGATTTGGGAAGGCGTGGCCACAGCTCGGGCATCCTGAGCCAATCAGCATAGCAGCGTGACCCCTGCCTGGGCGTGTTTTTGGGGGGAAGACCAGAGGGCAGCAAAAAAGGGGAGTTGGGAAGGAGCCCTGACCCGCGACGCGCATATAAACGGTGGACATTCCCACCGTGATCCATCAAGTCGCCAGGAGTAAAGAACCCGCACACCGCGAAAAGAAGGAGCCCACCTAGCCGCTGGCTGCACCTGCCACCGACCGCACCGCACCGTACGTTCCGTACCACCGCACCGCATCGCCGTCCGCCGTCCGCAGTTTCTCGATCCGTCGCATCGTCCCACGGCCGTCTTTTCCTTCCTTCCTTCCCCTCCTTCAGTGTCCTTCCTATCCAATCATTCCCATTCGTTCCTGCTCAACTACCAACTTCCAACAAGGTACGCACTTGCGCCTGCGCCCAGAACGTGTAGCGCCTTCCTGCCCGTACTTGTGTGTCTGCGCCTACCTAGGTACTCTGTCGCCGCCTGGCCTTGCCTTGTCTGCCTGTCAGACCGACTGCATCCTTCCCGATGGACGCATGTCAACTTTGAGGCTCGACTGACCACACCTTGCCACCTGGACTTGGAAAAGACCAATACCAAGCAATTCTCCTCCCACATCACCTTACTTCACTTCACAATTCCTTTCATATACAAACCCCTTCTCCCCTTTTAATCACCTCCCACCATTATATCAGAGCACCAGGCTGCTTCCGAAAGTACCGCTGTTGCCCCGCACAGGAACGCCTGACCACACGCCGCACGCCCCAGGACTGAACCCCGAAAGCCCCAAACTTACAGAACTCCCACCACCCCTGGCTCGCTAGACACACCGAAACCTTATCGAGTGTCACTCCCAGTCTTCAGGTCTGACTCAGCAACAACGCCGTTTTACACCTCGGATCAAGAGACTATCTGGCATACACCAAGATCTCGGACGAGCCTGTCTCACAGCCACGCTCCCAACGCCAGTCATCAGTCACCGCCCACTCATGCTACACTGAGTCTGAGCGACTTCCAGCCTTACTCCCACGCCGTCCGAGATACCTAGGTTCCATTCCAACGGGCAGCGACGCCAGGATTGGCCAGTTGCGACGTTGGGCCTCGACATCCACGCAGGCTCGCCGAGAGCTTAGTGAGCCAGGATTGGCTCTACTGCAAGTGGTTCGTTTTGCTGGACCTGGGAAGCAGTACTATCCTCGACTTGCAAATCTGCCAAGAGGCTTTCCGTACGGTGCTGCTCAACACGCTGCTATCCACCGCTCAGGTCCAGCACACTGTGGCAAACACGCTAGGGTGTTGAGAGGATATTACGAACCCTTGATGTTGTAGGCCGTGTACTGGCTTTGATCTTGTCTCTTCGCCATTTGCTCTTGTATCGCAGCGCTGCCCAATACGTTGGCTGAGGCTGTCTTACACACGCAGAACACATACTTCTCACGAAGGCGGTTGCGCTCTGTCTCGTCTTGTTATCATATTCAAGCCGAGCTTGGCAGTAACACTTTGCCTCGATTTACTGTCATCAACAACACGCCTTGCCTTGGTCCTGCGTCTGTCGGACCTTTACGCCCTGATTCTCAAGGATATGACGGTGGACCAGATCGTCAGCACATTCACCGCACGTAGCAACCCAAGCCTGAATCAGGACTCATACGCCGTGCTTTCCTGGACCTTTCATCTACTCAGCGACTAAAGACGGAATACATCCATCATTAGACTCAATCACGCAAACATTCCAAGATTGTTCGTGTTGAGCCAGACGGTATTCAAACAGCGGACAAGAACAGACAGGGGTGCAGGCTGGGTTTTGTACTCGAAAATCAGTCGTCCCTGCCTTTCGCTTAATCATCCAGTGTCCCACGCCAGCCAAACTTGGATTGGAACCTTGGCCAATTTTTTTTCGGGGCGCCAGCCAAGGCCCCCTGTCGTTTGGCCTCCACTTCCAAATTGGAAAAAAAAAAAAAAGCGGCCATCAATTTTTCCAGAAGGGCCGGAGGTAGAGGGGGAAAAAATAATAAAGATGGCGGACGACACGACCTACGCACCAAAGTCGCCGGACCTCTCTTCTTTTTTCTCGGCAGCACCCGCCCCGCCTACACCTCCACTGCACACTCACAGTCTGCAGCACTACCAGCAACAACTGAGCAAGCTGCAAACCTCTCCGTCTGCTGCACCGCCCGTATATGAATACTCCTCCCCCTCGGCACGCATTCACCACCCAAGCCAGCCGTCTTCAACTCCTGTTCATATCAAACAAGAGCAGCCCCACTACCCAACACCAGCGGCAATCAAAACGGAATTCTCTTCCTATCAGCCACCGCTGCAAACTCACCCCGGCCAGCCCCAGCCCCAGCACCAATACCAACCGCCTCAGCAGCACCACCACCACCAACAACAGCACTACCTGTCCCCCCAGTACCACCAGTCGCCGCCGCACCAACACCCATCTCCGCAACATCCCCCACCACATATACAAAGCGCGTATGGGATACAGCCCGTTCTCAACTATCAGGAACAGCAACCCCATCAGCCCAAAACACCTCAAAGCCAAGGATTTCTAGACCAGAAAAACTTTGGCGGAGCACCCCAACTACACGATATTCCGTATAATCCAGAGTTACAACATCTACCACAAACACCCGCTTCAACAACTATGCCTCCTAGAAAGAACGCAAAGCAGGCTGACTCGCCACCTCCAATTGATCCTTCACCTGTTCGGACAAAGTTCCCCACAGCCAGGATAAAGCGGATCATGCAGGCCGATGAGGAGGTTGGCAAGGTTGCCCAGCAGACTCCCATTGCTGTTGGCAAGGCTCTCGAGATGTTCATGATTGCTGTTGTCAGCCGCAGTGCCGAAATCGCGCGGGAGAAGAACTCCAAGCGGGTCACGGCTCAGATGCTCAAGCAAGTCATTGAGACAGATGGCCAGTATGACTTCTTGGCCGACATTGCCGCCAAGGTTGGCGACGAAGAGAAGAGAGGTGGCCGCTCCAAGGCCGAGTCGTCAAGCGACGAGGAGATGGAGGTTGAGACGAAGAAGAAGGGCAAGGGTGGCCGTAAGAAGAAGGCCGCTGCATGAGTTCTCTCACATTCAGTTTGGGTCTCGAGGCTAGGGAAGGGAAATTTCCCATGATGAGAAATATGACTAGGGTTATGAGGATTGGCGTTGGACTGGCTAGCATCTACATCGGCGTTGGGTGACAAGGCGATAAACTCGTCGAGCCGCACCTTGGGGGAATATTATATGGTTTACCTTATGGAAGGGAGGAACAAGTGCTGTTCCTTCGACTTGCATGCCATGGACGGCTTGTCTTCTATATGCGCATCCAGCCTGTCTTGGACAAGCCTTTTTACGATTTTAGAATGAGAGCATCTTATCGTTTGCGCAACATGATTCCTACAATAACGTAAATGAGATGGGTATGTACCGCACACACCTTGAAGCGTCTTGCTGCTGAAGTACCTTCGCCAGGGGACGTCTCACGTGGAACTCACTTTCCACTCATTCAAAGACACCCTGCTCATATGAGGCACATTAGAGCTTGACATCGTTGCTAGACTGTGCTTCATCAAGTAAGATCTCAGAATCACTGCTGCTTCCTTATGGATTTTGCCCTGTCTGTCAATGATACTCTCTCACTTCGCAGCTTCACAATGAAGAATTTCGCACTGGAAATTGAAAATGAGAACTCAGCAATCGAATGCAAATAACGTCACATATGCAGATAAAACGAAGCTGCCCCGCAGACAAGGATTTGGCCTTCGCCCCCATTCGTCCTAGCGCGACTCTGATCCTCTCGGGTCCGGCACTCTTGTTCTCACAGGTGCGGGCTGGCCCCCCCTCCTCAGAGGATAGGTGAGAGAGGTGTGAGAGGCTTGAGGTGGCCCGCCCAAGGTTCATGCTCGCTGAGGTAACCGGCGACGTAGTCTAATTTGAGGCCAGAATTTTTAGGCACTAGTACTGGGAAACGGCGGGTCGTGCATGGGGCATTCCTCCCACCTTCCAAGTCATGCCCTCAGATTAGTGGACAAATCGACATCCAATTCACGGCGGAGAGGGAGCTACCTATCTGCATCGAGTAACCGGCCACCGTGTGTACCTGGGCGTCCTGTCTCCCATTCAATTCTCCTTACCGTGCTACTGCTGCGCTGCTCGAACAATTCTCCCAAGTCTTCTGAGCTTCCCGCCATGCGAAACCATCCCTCGACCTGCGAATCCCGTTCATGTCCATGATCAAATGAGGCACCGAGCCTCGCTGCACTTGCATCCTTCTTTCCGTTCCGTGGCGTAACCAATGTCGTGGGACCTGCTCAAGCGATTCCTTGAGTCCGACGTCTTCAACTCGAACCCCTTTCTCTCGGTCTCCTACCTTTCGTGAGCGACCCTCCCCTTGCGCCCACCCGTCGCCATCATGCGCTATGCTCTCAATTGATGCTTGTTTCGGCAATTGGCAATTAGAATGACCTCTCTGCTAACCCCTGATCTTCCCTTCATTTAGTCGTTACGCCGACCATGTGGGCATTCACTATGTCCTGTGCAATAAGCTGCGACAATTCCCCTACGAGGATATCGAGTTCTTCCTGCCGCAGCTATGCCACCTAATAATCAGCGTCGACAACGAGTCCATGGCCTTGGAGGAGTTCCTCTTAGACTTGTGCGAGGAGTCCGTCACCGCTGCGCTTCTGGTTTGTCTCCTCTCCCCGCTCTTGCGCTGTCGTATTCGCTCACAACCTCCCAGACCTTCTGGCTATTCCAAACGTACCTACACGATCTATCGTCCAATCCGTCGTCCAAGGCCTTTCAAACATGCCGGAGGGTATATAATAAGGTGCAGCATATTGTGTTCGGCCTGCCAGATGCCGCGAGGCACGATAAGATCAAGGAGAACATCTTGCCCGTCACGGTCCTGGCGAGCTTCGTCCTTGCCAGTGTTGCGGTGCCACTCGTCCCACAGTGGGCGGGGCCACTAGCCGTGGCACAGGCTAGGAAGCCTCAGCCCTCCGACGACCTCATATCCGATTCTCGAGATAGCAACCCCAAGACAGCGCAAGTGACGCGAGCTCACACGGTGACGGCTGGGAGCTCGAGGTCTAGGCGTACGAAAGATGGAGGGCGGATGGTCAGCGCGCCGGATCTGGTATCCCCAGGCGTCGCGTCGGCTAACTTGCAGCATCGGTCGACGGATCCATCTCCGTCTCGGCCGGGTTCCTCTGGCTCCAAGACCCCAATCGAAGTCAAGCGTCTACCGTCTCATCTCAACATGAAGAATGATGACGCCCGTCTCAGCTCCTCTTCGCTGCCTCTCCCCGAGCTACGTTCTCCGAGGCTGGCCATAACGAGACCGGCAACACCAGTATCGGCAGGATTTCCCCCGCGCCCTAACGATGCCCTGAATAGGAGACACTCCCTTCACTTCAAGAGCGGTGCCGCCGGTTCTGAGTTGACAACACTGCAAAAGACAAGATTGCTGCGCCAACACTACTTTAGATGTGAGACGCAATTCCTGACCGCGCTAGAGGGTATCTCCAACAGGCTCGTGATCGTGCCAAAACCCGCTCGGCTCAGTGCCCTTCGCGCGGAGCTGGCCCTCATAGCGCAAGACCTGCCGGCAGAAGTGGATGTTCCAGTTATTTGCCCACCTACACTTGTGGATGGCTCACCGGCAAAAAGCCGGCACCATCGAATTGTCCGTCTGAATCCAGGAGAGTCGACAGTACTGAACAGCGCGGAGAAGGTTCCCTATCTTCTCATGGTTGAGGTATTGAGAGATGACTTCACATTCGACCCAGAAACGCCTGATAACAAAAGGCTGCTGGCCACTCTCCTATCCGATCCTGGCCACACCCGACGTATTTTTGATCTTTCCGACTCACCTCGCATACCTATAGCGCCCAAAACCCCAGAGACAATAGTTGACAGCGTATTTGAGCCAGTCTCTGGCGACTTGGGAAGCTCTCCCCTGATCAAGCCGTACGACGACGATCCTTTCCAGAAGCCCCAAGGAAAACAAATTCCGCCCTCGCAACCCCAACGTCTCCCGAGTGCTGGAACATCTGCAATGTCGACTGTCATGTCAGAAATCACAACTCCCCGAAGTTCTGGCACGTCAACCTCGAGATCGAGCAGCCCAACCGGCCCACTCCGCAAGATGACACTTTCTTCACGGCCTAATGCTGTGGTTGATCAACCAGATTTCTCCGCGCTGGCTACGCACATGCGCACCGCTTCGCAGATGTTGGCTCAGCTTGAAGCTACGAGCGGCAAGCGACCGCGACATGAAGTACAGGCAATAAGAGCCAAGATTATTGCGAGCATGCAAAGTCTGGAAGAACAGAGCTTCGACATGGACGAGCAAGGCCCAACCTTTGACACCATCATTGCCAAAGCCTCCACGGTACAAGCGAATTCTGTTGCAGCTACCGAGATACCTGAAGCCGAGAGTGAATCCCCCGTTGAACCGGGGCCTAACGCTGGCGCAGGACTGGCGAGAATGGAGAACGATATCAAGACTGGTGGTATACAGAGCAAGGGCGACCGCGACGATCCCAGCGCGGCTGTCTTCGGTGAGGCATGGCAAGCGAAGAAAGAGCGCATCCGCAAGACGTCACCGTATGGATGGATGAAGAACTGGGACTTGGTCAGTGTCATTGTCAAAACTGGAGCCGACTTGCGCCAGGAGGCATTCGCTTGCCAGCTCATTGACGTCTGCCACAAGATTTGGGTTGACGCAAAGGTCAACGTCTGGGTCAAGCTTATGCGGATTCTCGTTACCGGCGAGTCGTCCGGTCTGATTGAGACAATCACGAATGGTGTGTCGCTGCATTCCATCAAGAGAAGCCTGACATTGTCATTGGAGACAAGTCCCGGTCAGAAACGCCGATTTGCCACGCTGAGGGATCACTTTGTGAAAGCGTTCGGTGCTCCGGATAGCGAGCCTTTCAAAGCGGGAGTGGATGCCTTCAAGCGCTCACTGGCCGCTTACAGCATGATCTCATACATCCTACAGCTGAAGGATAGACACAACGGCAATGTCCTGATCGACAGCGAAGGTCATATCGTCCACATCGATTTTGGTTTCATGTTGTCCAACTCGCCAGGCTCTGTTGGTTTTGAGGCGGCACCTTTCAAGCTTACACAGGAGTATATCGAGGTTCTCGGTGGCATTGGTTCCGATGATTACGAAGACTACAAGAAGCTCTGCAAGCAGGCTTTCCAAGGTAGGTTCTGCGTTACGCCCTAGGGAAAGACATAGCTAACTCAATCTCAGCTCTGCGGCGGTCTGCGGATAACATCATCGACTTGGTGGCCATGATGGGGCGTGACTCAAAGATGCCATGTTACTCAGCGGGAGTTGTCCAGGCCACACATAATCTCCGCCAACGCTTCCAGCTGCAGCTGAGTGCGGATGAAGCGGAGCAATTCGTGGAGACAGACCTGATCGGCAAGTCCCTGGGCAGCTACTACACACGGCTGTGAGTTTGAACCTGTCTTTCCACGCAACTTCTCATACTAATGTGCCTATCTAGCTACGACACTTTCCAATATAGAACGCAAGGCATTTACTAGACGGTTGTGACGACGGACACAAAAAGAACTTCGATCAACAAGCTCTCGAAAGCATTTGGGACATGAACGTGCATCTAGGCATCTGGGCGGCGTTGCGGTTGAATAGACGACTGAACTGAACTGAACTGGCTGGGCTAGTAATGACGAAGCCAACCAACGATCTTCTCGGTCATTTTTTTTTATGAGTTGATGGGGAGGGACAGTAGCTATCAAAAGATAGAATAGCAGATGACTGGCTGTTTGAGGGCTGAGCGCGATATATAGGATACCGAAATATGCTGAATTAACATGATATATCCAAGACGAGATGGGACTAGAAATAAAGGGGTCCACGTCAATTATTCCGCTCTACAAGTCCATTGTGTCGATTGGATTTTGTTGTTTGTCTTATCAGCCATGTTGACGCCGCAATCATAGTTACAGAGCAAGGGCCCACTGCCATGTTCTCTCTGGTATAGTCCCAACCCGAACAAGACTTCTTACTTGGTTACTATAACGATACCCTTAAGGTC